GCTGAGGGCGATGGCCTGCCGGCGGGAGCTCTCGGCTGCTCCCGGAGAGGCTCCAGCGATTTCCAGTCGGTGAAGTAGTGGACCGGCTGGATTTGCCTCACTGCGGTGCTCAAAAGAAGCCAGGGATATGGAAGAGCCTCAGTGCTAGAGGGCAGTGGTTTGGTTTGGGAGACTAGAGAGATCCGCAAGCACAGGCTTGGAGATCAGCGCTTTTGAGTTGTGCTTTGCATCCTGACAGTCCCAGGGCAGAGACGCCTGAGGTGCCCTTTGGGGTGGCAGTGCTGCCGCTCAGCAGTGCGTTGTAGCTGTGCACAAAACTATTAAGTCCGAGTATGAGTCAAAGGTGAATCTGAATCACATTTTGTTTTCGGTGGCCAAACCTAGTGAACTGAATTTGGGGAAGAGGGGAGGACAGTTCATATTCAGGGACTACCTCTTTATGACTTTTTAGAATGGTGCGTGGGCTGCACTCCGAGGAAGCATTGAGACAGTACCCAGTGAAGGGAGGGGTGATAACTGAATTGCCTGATCAGTCTCATATCTGGTGTAGGTTAACTGTGATAGAATTACATCCTTAAGTTATGTATCACATTGTTTCAGTTCCTTCATAAAATAGTAGATGGCATATGTGGCCGTGCGTATCCTCGATACCAGGATTATGGCGGTATTTGGAGCTTGTCGGAGTGGATGGAGATTTTAGAAGCAACAATGACGTATTTCAAAACTGCAGTTGGCAAAAACATATCTGATGAAGAGGTAAGGGCACAACACTGATTGGACTTGACTTTGAGAGATCCTACTGGGCTGATTAGTCTTGTAGTTTATTTTGTCCTGAAGTACTTTTATAGTGTAGCATTTGAATAGTAGCAGACTAAGCCTAAATAGTTAGAAGGCAAGCAGCATTTAGAGAACACTGCGAAGACTTCTAAAAGAAAAAGTGAAATTGACACTTTTTTTTTTTAAATAGCACCGGGCAATACTTCTTAAAATACTGGTTTAGTCACTTAAATTGGTATCTTAAGTACCACCAAATTAAATCTGTTTTCCCTAAAATACTGTCATTACTGTTCATTAGCAAAAAAACAAGGTCACACTCTTGTTTGGCTTGCTTTGTTCATTACTACTGCACTGAAGTGTGTTAAAATATTGACTGTATGTAAGTAAAAAAAAAAAAAAAATTTAGACTGTGAATGGAGGACCATGTGGGACAGAGACATTCAGGGCATTCAGGTTCAGGGCATTCCAATATGTATAAACTTTGCAAAAACTTGTTCCATTATCAGAAATCTTAGTTCTCATCTTTTGCATATGGCTCATATTTTGACTACCTGCTAGTAGCTAGATCAAAGAAAGATACTTGTGTAGCCATAGGAAAGTGCCTACATCAGTATGTCTGTTTCAGCTGATGTGTTTTGTCTCTGCTCTGACGTTCAGAAACTTTCAGAGCTAAACCCGAGTTGTTTGTGTCTGTGATTTTTGTCTTGATTTTAGGGTGGCATCTAAGATGGCAAATAAAGCCTCCGTTCTCTGGTCTCTTTTAATTTAAATGACAAGAAAATTATTCTTTTCTTCATATGTTGTTGTGGTAAATACTGACTCTTAACTATCAAATGTAGAGAGCTGCCAGTGAGGGCAGTATAAGAAAGATGAGACTGTGGAGTCCAGTGTAACAGCTATCTGGGTAGAAGTTTGCATATCTACAGAGCACAGCTATTACAGGTGGTACGTGTTATTTCTGTGGTTCATAGTTTAAGCAATCACAATTTTTATTTTTGTAGGCTGCTCAGCAGATAAATGAGTTAAATTCAAACTATCAAGAAGCAATCACAAAATGTCTAAAAGGCAGAAAGGAAGAAATCAGGAATGCGCTGGTGGAAAGAGTAAATGCAATCTCTTCTGCCCAGCTGCAAGATTTTGACTGGCAGTTAAAGGTGAGAGTGTTGTCTTACTGTTGTTTGAAAGAAGTGTTCCACAACACAGAAGTAATTATTGATATAATCCCCTTAGGCCTGCTCATTCTGGAGCATCGTCCAATTTTTATAGGTATCAGAAAAGCACGTTCATGATAAGACTGATCAAAGACTTGCCAGAAGTTTGTATAAACTGTAAAAGTAAAATTCTTCTTTTTTTCCTCCTTTTGAAGCTGCAGTACCTAGCTCTTTCCTGAAAGGAGAATGAGCGTTATTCAGGAACACCTGAAAGTTTTGTATGCCATTATGATTTTGGGGGCCTGAATAGATGGTATTTTTACTCAAAGGAAGAAGGAGGATGTGTTTCCTTGGATTTTTAAAAAAATTTTTAGATTCCCGCAGTAAACAATTAGTTAATAATTAGTTTGAAATCGTTTATCTTTAGACTTATTTTGATAATAAGCCAGTGTTAACTGTTGCCTCAAGTCAGATGGTGCTTTGGGGTTACAAAGATGGCTGCTTTAAATTAAGCTCCATCAAAGACTTAACATTATTTACACTGTTTATATTTTTAGTTAGTCCATGGGAGCTGTTAAACAGATTTGTAGAGCTGATAAATAGTTTTCCACTTCACCAAGATTGTTAAATGCTTTGTGCAGCAGACAGCTTTGGAAATCAAAGAGCAATGCCCACAATAGACAAGATTTTACAAGAGCAAATATGGCATCATAGTGTGCTTCAGATGAACTGTTACTAGGGGTTGATCTCTTGCTAACTGCATTTGCTGCTGACAAAAATGTAAACTAGAGTTACATGAATTCTTGGTTTTTGTTTGTGGTCTAACTTTTTCTTCTGGAGGATTTTTTGAGTTTCTGTTTTGTGATACAAATTTCTGGTATGTATCTGAACTATTGTATTCATTTTGCTTTAAACCCCTTCAACTCCCCCCCCCCCCCCCTTGAGCTGGTTGTGATTTTTTTCACTTACTATAGTTGAAACTTACCAAGGACATTGTCTGTCCTCTGCTGTACCATGTTCTGCTCTCTAAATAAATAAGATAGGTGTGTACAATACTGACCTACAGTATTATCAACTGATCTTTGATTTTAATGTATTTTAAAAGCCTTATTTATACTAGAGTGAGTATAATAGCAAACAAAAAAGAAAGCGCAGTTGGTGTGTAATCCTCTTCATCAGTTTATCAGGTAGGATATCTGACAAACAGTGTTTGATCAGCTGTAGATAAGAGTTGAAAACTGCACAAAGGTGTCCTCTTTCTCCCAACTGTCCCTTCTGTAAGACCATTCTTACTTGTTGATTGTCAGAACTATTTGAATACAGTGACTTCAGAATTCATATACTTCACTTTTAAAGAGCCATGATGAAAGGTATCCTTTCTTTTCACCTAGAATACAAAAATGTAGCAGCCCAGTAATTTTAACAAATTGATTAAGCAAATGTTTTGCTATGAAGGGGGGGGGTGTGTTAGTATTTCAGTATATTGTTGGTATTAACAAATAAGCAAAAATCCCAACAACAGGAAAAAAAAAATAAAGCAACCCCAAAAACTGCAGAGATGACTTGCGAGAAGTTAATTTTGTCATGTTGATGTTTTTTCTGGTAGTACATATTTAATATAAAGCGCAGATGTGATGCTATGAAGACTAAAAACTTAGTGGCTCCACCTTACACTTTGTTGTTGTTGTTTTATCAATCTGCATAGCTTGCTCTCTCCAGTGACAAGATCTCCATGCTGCAAATGCCACTTGTCAATCTTGATTTGGACGTGAGAGAAAATGGTGAAATTAAACCGATTTCTATAGAGATGAATAAGGAAGAGTTGCAGAACCTATTAAATGCACTGGAAGCTGCTAATAAGGTAGCTTTTACTGATACCATCCTTTGTTCCTGACTTTTCATGTACTGAGTTTATTTTAACTGAAATTCTTTGTTCTGGATATCTTGCTGAAAACCCAAAGTAAATCATTCATTGGCAAAATGAATATAGAGTTACAGAAAGCCTTACGTAAGGCAGACTATCTTGGATAGACTTTAGGGGTTTTTTTAGCACAGTTTGGTCAAGAATTTTTAAAAAATGTAATTAGAATCCTGATAAGCTTAATAGCCTGTTCAGACCACCATTAAAAAGTCTTGTGAGAATAGGTGGAGAAGCAAATGAAATGACAGCATCAGATGAGAGCTGATTTTGAAAGATGGGAGAGAACTCCAGTGTTCTCCTAGCTTCACAAAATGTCAATGGCTGGGAATGCATATGGGAGAGTTGTTTGGTTCAAATTGAGTGCTTTAATTTCCATGGTATAGTAAATCAGGAAGAAAGTTACAAAGATTCTAATATAGTAACCCAAGAAGAAAATTTCAAGTGAAACTTTATTTGGAGTGTCTCAGATTTCTTAATAGAAAAGACTAGAGGAAGTGAGGATTTGCAGAAAAATTGTTAGGGGAAGAAGTGTCATCTGACTTGCACCCAGGTGATAACTGCAAACCCTGAAGTCCCTCCTTATTCAGTTACTTTTCAGGATTACTTCTGGCTCTGTTATAAAGGAAAGTGGGATTTTTGTTGTGGTTTTTTTTTTTTTTTAAATCTGAAAATGTCTTCAAATATTTATTAAGTCTGTTATCTGGGAGATGGGGTTCTCTGACCTTGCAGGATGGATGTGAAAGAGTTGTATCAACAGCTTCTAGTTGCTTCATAACATTTAGCAAGTAAGGCATTTCTGTACATGTTTTATGTAATGTTATGATGCTATAGCTGGAATCTGTAGACCAACATTTAGAAAACACCTTCATTAATGTGTAACAATTGAAAATAATGGATTTATAGCTCATAGAGTTAAATACTGTTATAACAGTGCTGTTAGTATTTTGAATTTAAAAAGACACTAGATTTATGTCTACCAGTTGCTTTAATGAGGCTGCCAGACCTCTGAGTAACTATGCAGTTCCCAGTGAGAAAAATGCATTAGTCCAGGTACAGGTGATGTTCTCATGAAATGAGAGCCCTTAACAGCTTGCTTTCCCCTGGATTTTTCCCTCCAAAACTAAATATAAAAATAGTAGCTTGTGATTAACTCTACACTATGCAAGCAAGGATTCTTCCGGGACAGACTCCAGCAGTCTTCACAATCCTCTTGTTCTGCTTCAAGATCTGTATGGAAGCTGTGGGATGCTGTCATCTCCTTACTTAGTTTTATGTGTGTACAAGGAGGAATTCACTCCAGAAATGGTCCCTCGATTCCACTTTGTGTGGAAGTAATCTCACTGGACCTGGAAATTACCATTCTACTTTTTGATTACAGGGAGCTGAGGAATGGTTTGTGTGCAGTAAGTGCTAAAGAACATTATTGGAAGTGATAGTCGTGTGAGGTTGTAAAAGAGAACTGAGGGAGATATGGTGTATTTTCCAGAGGAAAGACATGTTTATATGCTTGCATATTATACTGTAACAGAAAGCAAAAAGCTGTATTTCCTAGACTGTATAAGTTTTGGTCTCATCCAACTTTAATGTCATTCCTTTTCTCCTTTATGAAGGTTGTCTTGCAACTGAAATGATGGAATTCAGATCACCGACAGTATCTGCGGGCAATGGCTCCCCAATTGACTTGTGGGGACAGGGGGAGAAATGTTCTCTGCAAAGCCAAAAGTTGTTGATGCTGTAAAATACTGAAGTGAGGAGGCCGTTACAACCTGTGACCAAATAAACTACTAATCCTTTGATGAAAATAATAAAATCTTGTATCTGACCGAAAATATAACAATCCAATGTACAGTTGCTTCTACTACTAAACATATATAGAACTATGGAAAAGTATCTCTTATGTGTGCCATGTTTGTTTTGATTAAACTTTGGCAGTGACTGCACAGGTGCCTGCTAAAACTAAGGTGTCTTAATTGCATAATATGTTATCCTTATCTAAGGTGCCATGATAATGAAGAACATGACAGAGTACTTGTAGCATTAATGTATTTATATTTGTAAATAGTAAATAAACACTTGACTTTGTGTGTGAATAATTGCAGTAAGTTGTTTCTTGATTTATTAATCAGTAAACTCAGAATCTTTTTAGATGTCAGGAAAAATCAGCTTTACAGGCAAAAGCAGTATAGAATCACAAAATGTTTGAGGTTGGAAGGGGCTGCTGGAGGTCATGTTGTCCAGCCCCACTGCTCAGGGAGGGCCACCTAGAGCAGGCTGCACAGGACCCTGTCAAGATGGGTTTTGAGTGTCTCCCAAGGATGTTGGCAACCTGTTCCAGTACTCGGAAGTTGAGGAAGAGGCACTGGGGCTTTACTCAGAGTAAAGTTTAGGGTTTTAGCTTGGGTTTTGTATCTTAGTTGATGGCTTTTCACTTAAATATATCAATGTTTTTGAAAGGAGGTGCAGTGCTGGAGAGGAGCTGACCTACGTAGACTGTGAAAAGGCTACTCCCAGCCCACATAATGGAGCACAGAACTGGTGAAATGTAGTCTAAATCTTTCTGAAAGCAGATTGCGTTTTGATCATAGTATGTAACAAGTTAGAAGCTGTAACACTAGACAAGCATACACCAGGAACCTTTATGGTTTTTACTATTTGTTAAACCATTTTTCCATACGTAAAGAACAAATTGTCTGTAATGCTTCTCTAAATACTCATGTGTACTCCGTGTGTGTATATGCATGTTTTGTATATATAAAAACATATAAAAAAGGCAAAGTGTTGATGACTTACCATCTTCATAGTTTCAAAATCAGGGGTCTTGGGTTTCTTCTGCTATATTTTGTTGTGCCATAGGTTTTCATATAACCAAAGTGTAAAAATAATACATCTGTACAAAAAGTTGGACTTCAGAGGACTGGTCAGGAAGAGGAGGAGGATAAGAAGCTCTCTTGTAGAAAGGCCTCTATGAAAAGGATTTTAGTAGGCTTCATGAAGAGTAACCTAAATATAAGTTTCTAATACTAAAACTAGCATAGAAGTCTTGTGGGTCAGAAAATATTAAAAAAAAAAAAAGTATGCGTGTCTATAAAATGTAGTCTGTTGCCCTTTTGTTTGGTACTGGTCCATTTAGTCAGATGTGCATGTAGCTCATTGTCAGCAATTCAAGACAGAGAAAAAGTGGAGGAGGGGGTTAAGAGCTGTAAGAATGAAAGACTGGAAAATATATCTTACAATGAAAGGACTGCAATCTTTAACAGGTATGGCTTGATCATAGTCTTGAATATTTATAAGCAACAGAAATGCGATAATGCATCAGATAACAGATAAAGACCTTGCATCAGTGGTACCAAATTCAAGCTAAAAAATTCAGGCTGGAATTGAAACTTGTTTAGTTTTATAAAAAAATCTGGAAAGAGTTACTGCAGTTTGTCCAGTAGTCTGTTCAGGAGAATGCTATTTTTTAACTGAGTTTAATGAATAAATTGGTCAGGCCTATTCATAGGTATATTTGTCTTGACTCCACTTTTCCCTTTTCCTCTAGAACTAGTTGCTTTATAGAAGAATAAATACACTGCTTTGATATGGCCCTGTGTGCTTAAATGGTTTATGGATTGTATGATGCATACCGAAGGTGTAATTCTGCTTTAGCTTTCATTATACTGTGATAGCGTATGTTGCTAAAAGGCTTTTGTAGAGAAAAGAGGCTTAATTTTTAGTGACTGATTTTTAACTGATTTTTATTGTTGGCACGCTGTTTTTATCCTGACAACTATTCCTTCTATTTACAGTAGCAGAAATAATAAACAGCTAGTAATATATTTCATATGAGTGTATGCTATCACTATTGAGTTTGGGATGTCATTTGGATAGAAGATCCTTGTGTGATGGTCCATTTTTACGATTTATAGATGTACTGTAAACACATTTAAGAAAGCAGATACCTAGAAGGTCTGTACTTCAAAGAATATGAAAGTGGATATTTTAAACTTATTTAGCAGTATGTTGCTGAAGAGACTTTTGATATTGCTACCTCTTAGGTTTCAAAGATCAGTTGTTCAAAAATACAGTGCATTCTTCAAAATAAAGCTATCTGTTTTCTCAACAATAAAAGGCCACAGATGATAACTTTGATTTTTACATTCAACCTATGAAACTCCTGTTCGTAAATCTGCCACATATCTAGCTGACAGAGCAATTTTTTTTAAATGTAGATGCTATTTAAAAATACTTCTTTTTCTTAGTAATAGAGACTTAAAGTTTACATAGTTTCATTTTAAATGTTATAGTAAGTTATGTAAAAATGGATTTATAATTACTCTTAAGGGTATGTGGTGATGTTTCGCCTTTAGTATCATCCTATATTTGTCCTGTCCTTTACTGCAGCACTGAACAGGAAAGGCTGAAGAATCATTTTTCAATTATTTTTTGCTTTAAAAAAAAAAAAAGGACAGTTTCTGTTATGATGTGACAGTAATAAATGTGCAATGAACTGCTTTTTTTTGGGTGTTAGACTTTATTGAAAGTCTGATTATTGTTTATATAACCATCAAAATGGCGTTTTTGACAGGGGACATAGCAACAGTCACGTGAATGGCTAGAGATCGAGAGAAGCACCTGTTGACGAGCAGTTGAGAACTAGCAGCTAAAACTTAGTTGTCATGGAATTGCATTTGAAAGGTGCATCCTGACCTTACATCCCTACAGAGACATGAACTGTCCTTGTAAGGTATATAATGGCCTCCAGTAGATGGAAAGGAAAAGGACTAAAAGGAATGGAGAAGAGAACTTGCTGCTTTGTATCATCTATCAGAAAATGGTTTCATTCCGTCTCTGCTCTGAGAAGTAGGTACTTTTGGAGCAAGCAAGGTCTCCAGTTGTGACAGGTAAGGCATTTGTAGAGACTGTACCAGGCCAAATGGATGCAAAAAGCTAGAGATTCCACAAAACCCATTATATTGGTGTCAGCTTCAGCATACACTTTGATGAATACAGGTAGACATGAAAAGGTAGTGAATAGGAAAAAGTACACGTGACGGAAACATCTAAAACAAGCTCATGTGGCCAGGAGCTTACCTGTCAAGTATGCCCTGCTGTGCTCCGTTCTGGGCTGAAGAACGGGAGGTTAGGTAAGGAAGTTGGCGTTACATTTCCACACAGAGGTTTTCATACAGCGCGGAGCACTGCAGTGCATGTCACAGCCCCTGGAGGAACTGTATGCTGGGACCAGAGTAAAATAGAAGAACTGCACCGGTAACAAAAGCCGTGGAGGGGCTGTGGTGTGGGGAGCGTCACTCGCAAAGCCACTTGAGTCTGTGACTAAGGGGAGAATCGGGGAAATCTTCTGAAGGCATAGGAATTAGACCAAAGGTGCAGGAGTTTAAAGAGATGCCATTAACATAAAATAACTTTTAATTTTGTCCTTGCCTATCCGTTCGCTTTGGCCGTATCCGTATTTTTCTGTGTTCTTCCAGGCCTGAGCTCTTTCTTATTAGCTGGTTATGGTAAGCTGAATGGCTTTGATGTTTGTGCATCCCACCACGCTAACTTGTAACACTTGTTCCCAGGTGATGCTCCTGCTTTTGTCCTGTTTCAGGGACATGTGTTCATATTCTCCTAGTGTTCGCCCCTGCAGAGCAGCTCACTTCTGGGTCCTGCAGTTGTGTGGGCGAAAAAAAGGAAAACAGCCATCATAAATACACTGGTGAAACCTCTGTGGTTTGGCAGGTACTTTGTACAGACCTCTCACGCATGTATAAGACCAGATACACAGTTTTGTACAGTAGGCTCTTTGAACCAAAAGTCCTGATGAAAATAGTACATATAATGGACACACTGTATGAAGTTTTCATTTCAACATGTAAAATACACTTACAGCAATTCGCATTGCATAAACAGACCTGCAATTTGATTCAGAAAATGCAGCGTATCTTGATACAAAATATAAAAGTGAATTATAAAAATAATCTTACTTGCCCTCCATTGGCATTCATTGCACTTCATTTCATAGAAATCTTCCCTTGATTTCAGAAAAATGTTTTTCTTGATCAATCATTTCAGCTTTGACCTTGGCACACTAAAGTGAATTAGAATAGGATTTGAGCAGCAAACTGTCGGTATGGAAGTGACTACTGTAATAAAACTGCTTTTGCAACAATGCAGTTGTGTATGTCAAGAAGCTGTGTTTTTAAAAAATCTATATAAATGTGTAGGACGTTTCTGAGTTCTGGAGTAAGCCTTTCTGACAACAGGCATGCTGAAACACAATTATGCTTTTATCTGAAAGATAGTTTTAAGAACCAGTAACACCTTGTCCCAAAGTATGCACGCTTTGCTGTCATTTTGAGGTTCGAATTAATATTTATAATGAAGTATTAGCAATAAAGGGATTTTTACTTTTCTGGTACCGGAGAATGCTTTCATAAGTGCATCAAGATAGTTTATAAAGCTTTTTACTTCTTTAAATCCACCTTAATTACATTTGGAAGTATACTACATGTCCGTCTGTAAATTTATAGTTTATACTTACTTCAGGAACTCTCCAGAAAGACCAAAAGACCACTACCAAAACATAGAAAAGCAGGAAAATCTCACAAAGATTCATCCTTTGGATTTTACAAGCCTGTGTGGGTCACATCATCAGGCTACTCTGTGGAGAGGTCATCGCAGGAGCAGAACCTGGTGTTTTAAGCTGGTTTGTGGAGGATATACTGGATGTTCAACCCTTCATGTTGTCCATGGCTGGGAATTTTACTCAAAGGTACTCTTCATAGGTGCTGGCACCAGCGGGAGTCCTACATAGAGAAGGCTCTGGCTGCTTTTTAGCATCAGGTTAGTAAGATAATTTAGCTGATAGAGAAATGAAAGGCTGGAAGGTGTGGAGATTTTTCTGACTGGGAACTACTACAGGTCCACAGGGACTGCTTTGGTGGTGGACTGTCTGGGGGGGAGGATTCCTAGCATCATATAGATTAAATAACTTTTTTTGGACGGCTACAGTAAAAAGGAATTTTGTTTCTTGGGAATACAGAGGTTTCGGATCTCCCATATTTCTGTAGATACTGATTTAGATGGGAGCCAGAGCAAGCGTTGGATGATCTGACAAGAACTGCTATTAACTACCTTTGTAAAACCCAATCTTGAATTCTTTACCTATGCCAAAATCTCATTCAGCTCTTTCTTGAAATGATGATTTGCCAGCTTTGTTTCGTAAAGCTGCTGTTTGCTGCAGCACACAATATTGAAAGTTAGTTACCTCTGAAAATCTAAAAAAATCAGGTAATATGTTTTCAGCTAGATCAAAACAGCAAATGACATTTCAGAGACGGGAACAAGGAAACTGATATGTTCACAGATACAAACAAGGTTGCTGATGCTCTCACTGAAATGCATAGTGTGCCAAAGGAAACCATCTTTATGAACATTTTTGGTGGTGTGATTGATATTTTATACTT